AGAATGGAACATATATTGAGGAGATATATATGTGTGTATATATATCCCCTCAATATATGTTCCATTCTATATGCATCCGAAGAAGTGGGCTGTAGTCCACGAAAGCTTATGCTCTAATAAATTTGTTAGTCTCTAAGGTGCCACAAGTCCTCCTGTTCTTCTTTTTGCGGATACAGACTAACACGGCTGCTACTCTGAATCTTTTAAACTAAGCATTTAGTATTGGTACCAATTAGTGTACCTGTAATCTAGCCATGTTACTGCATAGCCAGTCCTTGGAACACACTTGTCAATAGTCAAGAGGAAGTCCGACGGTTTAGGATGCAGGTGTTTGAAGCCTGTTTGCACAGTCTTTACCTGTTGTGTGTGTACATAAGGACTGCGGCATTTAAATATACATTTTACTATTGCCTTCATTATCAGAATAGCTGGACACCTCACATACGTTAATGAATTACTTATCACAACACTCCTCTGAGGTAGGGAAATATTATTATCCTGTTTACAGATGGGCAAGTGAGGCACAAAGAAGGTAAATGACTTGCCCAAGGTCACACAGGAAGTTTGTGGCAGAGCCAGGAACATAATTCAGATTTCCTAAGTCTCATACCTGTGTCTGAATCACAAGACCATAATGCTCTTAATGAGCTCTCTATAGCTACATCTACACAAGAAGTGCTACAGTGGTGCAGCTGTACCAGTGGAGCTGTGCTGCTGTAGCACTTCTGGTGGAGACGCTGTACGTTGATGGGAGAGAGTTCTCTCGTTGGTTCTATTACTCCACCTCCCATGAGAGGGAGTAGCATTGTCAGTAGGAGAAGCTCTCCCGCCAAGATAGCGCTGTCTTACACCAGTACTTAGGTCAGTATAATTTATGTTGCTTAGGGGTGTGGATTATTTTGGCTGGGGGTGAGGGCTCTGGGTGGGACTGAGGATGAGGGTTTTGGGGTGCAGGAGGGGGATCAGCGCTGGGACAGAGGGTTGGGGTGTGGGGGGGTGAGTGCTCTGGCTGGGGTGGGACTGGGAATATGGGGTTTGGGATGCAGGGTGCCCCGGGGTTGCAGCAGGGAGAGAGAACTCCCCCCAGTCCTCTCTCGCCACAGCAGCCCGGGGCCAGGGGAGAGGCGCCTCTTCCTGGCCAGAGTAGCTCCGGGCCTGGGGGAGAGGCACCTCTCTCTGCCTGTGTGGCCCTTGATATCCTGCTGCGCAGCCACGCAGCTTAGCGGAAACTTAGTCCTGGACCTCTCTGCAGCATTCAACACTGTTGATCACACACAAGGCAGTAACAATTGACATCTGTTGGGGCCCTCCCTGTAGAACACCAGAATTTTCAGAATGAGAAACAGCAGGGGTCTACATTAACAGGGTGCAGCTGGGTTGGGTAATTATTTTTTCTGTTTTCCCCAACAGCATTGACGGATCGCTGAAGACCTAGCTGTGTGTTTTCCATCTGGTTTGAATTGTATTTGAATTTTGTGTATTGGTTTTGATTGATGGAAGGCATTGGTGGCTGGGTGGAATTATGGAAGACCAAGGGGAAAGTGAGGAGGTACTCTGGGACAGTGAAGCTTGCTACATCCCTTTGCTACATGGGCCTCCTGCTAGTGTTTGTGTTTTGTTGACCAGTTGCTGTAACTCTGGGTCCCAATAGAACCTTCTGGTCTGCAGGAAAAGAGAGATGGGCCACTAAAATGAAATGCAAGCAAAGAAGTGAATCCCCACCTGTTGGGCCCCATCATGCATGCCCCTTCCCCCCGCATGGCTGCCTCTGGCACATGGCTCTGTGGAACAGGAAAGGGCTCTGTGGAACAGATAACATAGCAATGGGCTGTCTTATCTTGTGTGGGAGCTGCAGGGGGAAAAACACATCTATTCTAGCTGCTCCCTTGGCCTACCTTCCTCCTTGCCTGCCTGGTTTCCATTCCCAACCCCTGGGTGGAGCTCACACCATATGGCTCCTGCAGTGCTTAAAGGGCAGGGGATGCTGTCATGCAGGCAGCTGAGCCTCCGTTTGCCCAGGCAGGGGAGATAGATGTGTGCATGACCCCCCACTCTCCCAGACTCCACAGAGCTAAGGGGGAAGAGCTGAGTCCCAGTACCTATCAACAGCAAACCAAAGGCCTGATGTTCTGAGCTGCTGATCACCCTTTAACTTGGCTCCACTGGAAGTTGAGGGTGCTTATCACCTCACAGGCCTGGTCCCAAAATGACTCAGCTTTTTCCTTCCCTAGGGTGACCGTATTTCCCTATGCTGAATATGGGACACCTGGTAAAATTACTCGTATTCAAGCAAGTTCAACCGCAATCAATCAGAACTATGCAGTACAAATCTGATGCCCTAGTAAAAAGAAATAACCCATAGTTGGATTCTTTTTATTTACCTTCTTATCTTTAAGGCTTTAGGGTTCACACGGTGAGAGGTGACACACACTCTCCAATACACCTCTCTCACACAGGGTGGGCGGGGGTGACCAACTGACCTGACCCTCCCTGCCTGGTGCTCTCCGCCCTCCATGCATGGCTGAGCCTCAGGATGGCCCTGCCTCTCCTGCTACCTGGTGCCATGTCTTCCTGAGGCAATCCATCCCCAGATTTCTGCCAGGGTTCGCACCATAATGTGGCCAACAGCAGCCTTTTGGCACTCTGGGGGAGGGAAAAACTGGAGCTGCTTCCAGTGGCAGGGGAAGAAGAGATGGGGAAGGGGTGACCTGGCCCGTGTCTTTGCAGAGCTCATCTCTTCTCTCCCCCCACCCTTCCTGTCCGCACAGTGTTGCAAGGCAGCTAACACCTCCAGGCTGCTGCTGGCTACCGACATAACCCAGCTGCCTCCTGTCCTCTGGCTACAGCATGGGCAGGAAGGGGTGAAGCCCTATGGATGCACTGTGCACCG